AGATGTATGCTTGTGACAGACTTCACCAAATGGATTCCTTTTGTTCTACAACTTTAATGTCAAGTGGATTCCATTAATATTTGCTCATTGACTCAGTTGGTGTGTAATTGTCTCATTAAAAATTCAGGCCAGGAAAATTAACTTTCTAGTCTCACGAAGTGAGGATAATACGTCTACTTCTTAGGTCCTATATGGATGACTATGAAAACGGAGTTTCTGAAGTCCATTAGATTCATGATAGGGCTTTGTATGTGTATGTTTAAAGAACATGACGAATTTACCATTTTAGCAATGTTTGGATATCCTGTTGTTAAGTTCACTGCTATGGTACAGCCTTCCCCACGTATCCTCAGAGCCTTTTCATCATTCCTAACTGAAACTATTTTTGTCAGCTGTCAAGCTGTCCCAGTTTGGTTTACATCCATGGGCAGCACTGGTCCTGCAGTGAGCCTCTGCACATCGTGAGAAGCCTGCCTGGTACTCTTCACAGGGAATAGCCTGGAGGAGTAGAGGCTGGTGTTGGTCCCTTCCATGGGATTCCCAGTGAGGACTATGTGGGACTATGTGGCTTTTTGTTGTTGTTTTTTAAATATTATCATGAGAGAAACATCACTCCTTTCTAAAGGCAGTTTTCTTCATACAAAATTAAGAAAATAATAGTTTTGTTATCAAGATTGATTTCAAACATCATTGATTTCAAATGGAAGCAAATCATGATTTCTCTTTCCTCTTCATTATTTGAACACTTATATTTCCGGGAGCATCTGCTTTTAAGGAAGCCTTATTTTTATAAATAGGTTGTGCTTGTAGCAGATCCACAAACCAAAGACATTCAGTGACTCAGCGGCATTCAAACTTGACCCTTTATCTACTCCACCCTAACCCGCTAGGAGTCCATTTGAATATTATAGATTCCCTGGGCCTAACACACTTCTGCTCACTGGGTACGATGAGGTTTGCCACAGGCCAGTTCTCCTTCTCCTTACTGGCTTACACATCCAAGCAATGGAATACATGGTTAATGGCATCAGTAGAGTTTGCTTTCTCTCTGAGGATTGCCCAGGGGAGCTGTGAACCTGGAGTTTTCTTTATGTTAATATATATGCTAATGTAGTCTTTCTACAACCATCCCATTCTCAGCCTTCACTGCTTTAGCCTCTGCTTTCCCTCAGTCCCTATTACTCCTCCCCCTTTCTGCCCTCAGCAGGAATCATTCTAATGTTTTAAGTGTTCAGTTTTTTGTGTACACACTTATAAATATGTACTGAGTAAATGATAGAGGAATGGTGTGGACTCGGTTCTGTTCCTCTTCTGTCACTCAGCACTGAGGCCTCGCCTCTCACCACCTGTGTCATGCTGAGACATCCCTAACTGTGGTTACCTCCAACCCCCTGCTGTCTTAGATAGCACTGGAGTCAACCTCCATGTCCTCTTGACACCTGTGCTAACGTCAGATTGACACAAGCTAAAGTCATCTGAAAGGAGAGACCTCAATTGAGAAAATGCCTCCAGAAGATGGAACTGTAGGCCAGCCCATTGGGCATTTTCTTCATTTGTGATTGAGGGCCCTGCCCATTGTGGGTGGTGCCATCCATGGGCTGGTGGTCCTGGGTTCTATAACAAAGCAGACTGACAAGCCGGTAAGCAGCACCCCTCCATGGCCTGTATCAGCTCCTGCCTCCAGGTTCCTGCCCTCCCTGCTTTGCATAATGAACTGTTATATGGAACTGTGAGTGAATAAACCCTTTGTTTCTCAAGTTGCTTTGGTCATGGTGTTTTTTTATCACAGCAACAATAACCCTAATTAAGACAACACCTATGTCTTAATGTCACTTTGGGAAGCTGCATGTAGCAAGATTGGAATTGCTGGTTTAAAGCGGTTAAAGCTGGGTAACTGTTCGGAGTGGCAGTGACCATCAGCACTTTCAGCCCAGTATATGTCCCTAGTTCTGCACAGGCTGGGGATGAGCTTTTTATCCTTGGCAGTCTGTTAATGTGCGCTATTTTGATTGACTTAATGTCTCATTTGCTATTCTGATAATCATTTGTTTGGGTGAATGGAAGTGGGGATGGGACTCAGGGCTTCATGCATAATAGGTTCCATTCCTGATCTACAAACCCTGCCCTGGATATCCCACTTAATTTGCAATTCTAAACTTCCTAGTAAATTTAAGCATGTCCTCGCATACCTGTGCCTTTTGAGCTTATGTGTTAGAGATAGATGCCTTTTTTCTGATTTATTTATTTATTTATTTATTTATTGCATCTCTTTGTTTTGTTTTTCTTTTCTACCTGTGGATGGATATAACATCAGAAAATATCCTGTTTTCCCAGCTGTTTGTTTATTGGGTTTTTTTTTTTTTTTTTTTTTTTGAGACAGTGTTTCTCTGGGTAGCCCTGGCTGTTCTGGAACTCACTATGCAGACCTGGTTGGCTTCCAACCTGGAGATCACCTGCCTTTGTCTCCCAAATTCTGGGATTAAAGGTGTGCGCCACCACTGCCTCTTTATTTTTAATCTTAAAAATACATAGCTATCTCTACCTATGAATATCATCTTTGAACTTTGTCCTTTTGTGATTACCCATGAAAGATTTCCTGACTTTTAAGTGTTTACATTCCTGGGATTCGTCTGTCTCCCGAATATGTTCTTAGTTTGAATCATGTTAAAGTGTTTTCATGGTGTCCAGGAAACAGAGTTTGCTTTTACAACAATACCCACTTCCCCAAGTCCCTTAAGCTACGAATCCATTGTGGATTATTTCACTGATTCAGTCAGAACCATTATGACCTGCTCAGTCCCCATGCTCTGGCCTAGCCCCATTACAGAACCAAGTCTTTATGCAGAAGCAGTGAGGACATTTCAGATCTAAACCACAAATTGGCAATTACATAAAGAGTTTCATAAGAGAGCAGTCTGTTTTTGTTTTTTGTTTTTTTTGTTTTGTTTTTTGTTTTTTTTTGTTTTTTGTTTTTTTTTGTTGTTGTTTTTTGTTTTTTTTTCCCCTTGCTGAATCTCCTGTCTGTTAGAGGAGGGAGAAATCAGAGCATGCCAGGCAAGAGTGTCATACCCGTCACTCCTGTCATTTGAGAGGTCAGATGGAATGGCCAGAAGTGCAAGGTCATCCTCAGCCACATACTGAGTGTGAAGCCAGGCTCTCAGTGAAGCACAGCAACAGAAAAATAAAATCATACCAGCTCAAGAACTGATATGACATCAAGACCAGTGGGCGGGAGGTTGCTCGGTAGGTAAAGTGCTCGCTGTAGAAGCATGAGGACCTGCCTTGGGTCTCCAGCCCAGAAGCAAGTCTGATAGCCCAGCACTGGGGCAGAGATGAGATGAGCCCTGGAGTTCATTGGCCACCGAGCCTCATCAATCGGTGATCCCAGGTTCAGTAAGCTATTATTTCAGCCCTAAAAACCACACACACTACACACACACACTATACATCTCTATTGTTTGCCTTCTCTAGACTTTTTTTTTTTGAGACAGGACCTTGATATATCAAGGCATATGATATAATATGCCTAGGCTGCCCTTGAACTGAAGATTCCCCTGCCTCAGTTTCGTGCATGCTGGACCTAAAAGCATTTTCTGTCAAATCCAGCTTCGTGTGCATCTGCTGGCATGGAATTTGTGTCTTGGTAGTCCATAGCCGTTGTAATCTAAACCTGCATTTATTTTACCTCTTCCTTTCTGTGATTTACTCCTGAGCTGGCACTGTGTGGGATGCAAGAGCGGCTGTGAGCAGTATCGTCTCCTGTTGATACACCAGTGTGGTTTTGTTGTATGGAACCAGAACAAGTGAGAAGTGTTCCAACCAGAACTGAGCTGGGTAGTTTAGACCATAGTGTAGAGGTGACAGGGCCTCCTAGCTTGCTTTCTGTTTCTGTGATAAAAACTGACCAAAAACAGATTAGAGAGGAAAAGCTTATTTCTGTTTATAGCTGATAGTCCCTCAGGAAGGAAAGTAGGGGCAGGAACTGAATCAGAGATTGTGGAGAGACACTGATTATTAGCTTGCTCCTCAAGGCTGAAGCAGCCTGCTTTCCTATATAACCGTGGGTCACTGCACACCTAAGCTGACTTTCCTTTATCAGTCATCAATCAAGATAATGCACCTGTAAGCCAATCTGATGGGACCATTCTCTCAGTCAAGGTTCCCTCTTCCCAGTTCATGCTATCTTGTGTCCTGTTGGCGACAAACTAGCCAGCATGCAAGGTGAGGGAGAAGATGGAAAGCTAAAACTATTGAACATGTCCAAACTATGGCTTATTAGGACCTTCATCATAATGAAAAAAGTAGAGCTCCATAGCGACGAGACAGTGCACTAATGGATGAGTGTGTGCCTGTTTGTGGATCGCTCTTAGATCCAACAGCTAAACAGACAACCTTGGTTACCCTTCCTTTTACTTGATGCAGTTTAACTTTATGCTGTTTCTACATTTTCAAGATTATATTTTAAGGTAGGGGCTATGGGCGACTGGAAAGCCTCTTGCCAATCACACACACGACCTGAGGTTCAATCCGTAGCGTGACAAACATAAATATTTTAAAATATATTTTAAGTATAATAAATTGTTGATTCTCTTTCTGGCCAAATCTTAAGTTTATGAGAGTAGAAACAACTGTTTGGTTCAATAATTTACCTCTAAAGCCAAATACTTTGTTCATACCTCACTGTTATTAAATTTTCTAAACCTTTGTGGCAAGGTGGAGGCTTGGGGCCATAATTTATCCATATTTTGGTAACTCTCTGAAGGAAAGAAACAGTTCACAGAAGGTTAAGCTAATGGGAACCAGAAGCGAGAAGTTTGGTGGGCAGTCTAAACTTATGTGGAGATAAAAGTAACTGCTAACAATAGCTTGCCCTCAAGGCCATGAAAGCCTTAAGTGATTTATTCTAAGACAGCCCTGAAGATGAACCACACTAAAATGGGAGAATGCTGACATCTCAGTAATAAAGACTCATGCTCTATTTTTTTTCATTTCTAATATAGAAAAGATCCGGCAAAGGTATGCAGACCTGCCTGGAGAACTGCACATTATCGAGCTGGACAAGGATAAGAATGGCCTGGGGCTCAGTCTTGCTGGCAATAAGGACAGGTCACGGATGAGCATATTCGTGGTGGGCATCAAACCAGAGGGGCCTGCTGCTGCAGATGGACGGATGCAGGTTGGAGACGAGCTGCTGGAGGTGAGAGCCCGTCTTCTCAGCTTGTCCTTTAGTGCCCAGACTAGGTACTGAGGGTCGCATACAGGAAGCCAACTTGGATGCTGTTACGAGTAAGTTAGAGCCAGCAGAGTCTATAGACTAATTGCCTTTTATCCCAGGGCACCTTTTTTCCTCTTCTGACTTCTTGATTGTGTTTAACCACTGTTAAGGCCTCTTGGGAAACGGGTTCCAGCATGTGGCTTTTAGGAGAGGCCAGTCACAAGGGCACTAGACATCCCAGTGTCTTGTATGAAGTAGCGGCCTCTGAGTGTGTGCGGATGGTTTCCCCTTCAGACTTAGAACATGCCTTCTACATCTGCAGCCAGTGCAAGGAGACCAGCATCTCTCTTCCCTCCACCTAACACCCTTTCCTGCCGAGGAGCCAGACCTGGGAGTGTGCCCTTCTTGCTCTGTAACTCCCTAGGGGTTGGTACTTTAAAAAAAAAAAAAATTGCTTTAAAAAAAAAAAAGGTAAATTTTGACAAAATATATTAACCATTATAATCCATGCTTCAAGGTCATTTCCTTTAGCTCCTGTTTGGAAACCCCTGGGGATGAGACTGAAGTGGTGAAGGAAAGCGATGGGGAAACAGGGGCGAGCCCAGCGAGTTACTGCTTCCCCCAAGTCTGCACCGCGCGTAGTTGTCGCTGATTTGCTTCAGAACCTTGGGTGGAAACTACCTCTCTCACTTTTTTTTTGTTTTGTTTTGTTTTGTTTATCACTACATAACCCCGGCTGTCCTGGAACTCACTCTGTAGACCCAGTTGGCTTCAAACTCACAGAGATCTACCTGCCTCTGCCTCCTGAGGGCTGGGGTTACAGGTACCACCTCCCAGCTGAAGCTATTCTTTTTAATTTATGTGTACAAGTGTTTTGCTCATGTGTATGTCTGTGTACCATCTACATGCCTGATGCCTGTGGAGGCCAGAATCAGACATCAGAGCTAGACAGTTATTAGCCACCATATATGTACTGGAAAATCAAATGTGGGCCCTCTGGAAGGGCATCCAGTGTCCCTAACTACTGAGCAGTCTGTCCAGCACCATGAGGTGGCTCTTAATGGGCTCCTGGTAGGGCTGGACATCAGCAGAAAAAGCAGTGTTTAAAAGTGTTAAACATATACCCCGTTCCCCATGATCCAGGAAGGACACAGGGCTAGAGACTGAGTGCAGGTGTAACTCAGCGGTAGAGCCCTTGTAAGTGTGCCCAGACCCTGATCCCATCGCTCATCAGAACAGAAATCAGGATTGGGAGCCAGAAACCAGATGTTAGGACCAAAGATGAATTTAACACACTGATCAACTAGAAAACTACAAAAGGAGTACTTCTCTGCCAAAACTAAGGAGAGAGCCCAAATCCATGTCTTCTAACATTATCGTGATGCAGCCTAGCAGTGAGTTAGCTGCTAGCTAATCCTACTTCCTCCGTCAGGCATGGGGCAAAAAAAACGAATACTAGCATTGACCTTGTATTTCTCCTTTTCCTTCCTCTAGCCTTCTGGATCTGGTCTTTTTGTTATATCAGTTACAGTTACAGATGCAGAGATCAAGTAGATTCAGTGTGGCTGTATCAGCTCCTTTTACCCTCCCCAGAGATGCTCTAGTTTCTGCCAAGTGGCAACAAATAAAAATATGTTGGGACACAGATTTTATTGTCAATTACCATCTCTCTTCAGCCTCAGCTTTTTCAAATCTTTTAGCAAATATCTTCTTGAAATATCTAAAAATAAGTCCAAAATACATATACTTATTTTTGTGACCTCTCCCTGAGTTGAATAAAATTTCCTTTGCCTTAATCATTTTGAGAGAGCTATTTACTCATGTTACTTCTCATTATTGCTTCATCATGGTTCTTGTTATTAAATATTACTGCTTTGCTCATAGCCTCTTTTGGTTTGTAGTTGAGATCACTTACATCAGACCCTCAGATGGGGCTGTCCTGTCGCAGGTATTGCATGAACTGAGTCCTGCTCTCACAGAGCTAGCAGTACAGAGGTTGGGCCACATTAACCTTGGGGCAACCCTTCCTTTGGGGAAGTTAGTGACAAATATGCTAAGCTAGGTGTTGCCACAGTCTCTGGCATACTTTAACTGATAGGATCAAAAACTATCATTTCTGTATTTATGTATTTTTGTCTTTTTAGTTCGTTTATATTGATATTAGTGTCTGTGAAGTCATGTCCAAGCAGTGTCTTATTCCTTAGTAACTTCATGCAGCACCTTACCAAACCCCCGGCTCTTAGGCAGTTGTGATCTATCTTCTCTTGTAACCGTTTTGACTTCAGGTCAAGGATGACCGAAAATAAATTGATATGGGAAAATATTCCCTGGTTTCTTTTTATAGCTCAGGAAAAACACAGTACTTTTTCTTTAACAGATGAGGAGTTGGGATGTGTTTGCTGGCTGAGAATAGAAAACTGATTTACTGATGTGAGCTAGAAAAGCTAAAATCTAGCATGACCGTGGACATTGCAGAACATTAGATGGTTGGGAACGCTGCATTGTGCAAATGGGTTTTAAGAAATGGAGCGAACCATGGGTATTTGTAAACTCTCACCCAAAATACGGTTATTTTATAGCCTCAACCCTGAATTGGGTTCAGTCTTGTGGCTTGCGTATTTTCATAGTTCTCTTTCTGATTCATAGTTCCTTCATTACCCGGCCATGACTGTTCTGTCACGCCTTTGCTCACTGCCTCTAAGATTTACAGTTGATCCATTTGCTTAAGACTCTGAAGTCCAGTTAAGAAGTAAAATAATTATCAAGAACATATCCTGTCTCCTTTTAAATCAGAAACTCCGCTTTTCTCCCAGAGCCTTGGTGTGACCGGTTTGGGGCCTGTGGTTGCCGCAGTCCTGGCAGTGTGCAATTGCACCGTAGTAGTAGAATAATCATGAGTTCTGTGGGGCGATGGCGTAGTTCATGTGTAAAAGGAATTTTCTGTTAAGCTCCCAGAAGACAATGTGATTAAATCTCAGCTCCTTTAACCTTCCTTTCAGTTCTAATGTGAAGGTTACTGAATTAATTTCAGAAAGCATTACCATATAATTACCATGTACACAGAATGAGGCTTGCACTAGAACACTGGCTTTCCCAGCGCAATTCTGGGCCACAGTGCTGCCGTATGAATATAGGATTCATTTATAATCCTCCTTACCATGCACGTGTGAGAAGACAGGGCCAGTGGTGCTGTGCAGGGAGTCTGAGTGATGTGTCAGCTCAAAACAGAATGGATTAGGCTGCTGTGTGGAGCTGTGGAACCTGCAGAAGCCTAAACTGAGTCCTGTCCAGTACATGTACAGTGGAAAAGAGGAGGTGTGAGTACCTCTCATACCTTCCAGGGATAGAGGCATAAAACCAGGGTCAATTCAAATCTCGTCATGATACTGTTTTCATAAAGAAAAAAAAACCCACTATAATCACAAAAGTGAGTTGATCCGCCCAGGTGCAGTTGATCACCGCATCATGCAGCCTTCCTTGGTGTCGGCATTGGCCTACAGCTGTTCCTTGCCAGCAAATTAGATTTGAAACATTTTGGAAAGCTTAGATATGATTTGGACTGTGGTATGGAAGCTAGTAAGTAAATCGCTAGATTTTGTGCATCCGTGGGATAAAATCTCTTAATTTATACTCAGAAGCTCATGTCATCCACACTACCATAGCCGGGTGTATTTATCAAGTATTTTTAATGAAAGAACTTTGCCCTAAGATACATCATATAATAAAATCTCCTGGTATAAAAACAGTCTGAGGAATAGGATTTCAAAATTGAAACAAAATTATGCTTCTCCATAAATTTTTGGCAGAATAGTTCTTAATATCTACTCATGCAGAGTTGATTGACTAGGTTTTTGGTTTTTCTTTTACTGTGGCAGTGACTTCAAATGGCTTTGACATGAATGGTTTAGATATGAATATAATGCATATTAAAGCTGTATTTGGCCAGGTGTGGTGGCGCACGCCTTTAATCCCAGCATTCAGGAGGCAGAGGTAGGCAGATCTCTGTGATCTCAAGGCCAACCTGGTCTACACTGTGAGCTGCAGGTCAGTCAGGACTAGAAACTGAGACCCTATCTCAACAAACAGACAGCTGTATTTAATACCCGAAAACTATTTAAAAATGGATCGATCAAAGTTAACACAAATGAGTATTGTGAGTAGGTCCTGAATACGACCTTCCTACATGCCAAAGTAAAGTGATGCTGGGATTAAAGGTGTGTACCATCACATCTGGTCTATATAGACACTCTTTCCACCAGAATTGTTAGTTGTGTCAGAATTCTGGACTCTTAACTAGTAAAAAGACAACCAGGCTCAAGTGAAAGCCTCCTATGCCTTCCTGTGGTCCCTAAACTTTGTTTCTCTATCCTGCCTTAGATTCTCACATTGCAATTCCATATGATATTATCCATCTTAAAATGTAATGCAAGTCTATGTTCATTAAAAGAAGAATGTATAAAATCATGCTCCTCTATTAAGAACCAAAGAAGGAAGGCAGTCCTCCTTTGAACTTGTTCATGTACAGCCTGGGAGCTTCTGAACTTCATAATTGAAGAGCTTGCCCTCATTTCTACTGTAGACTTGGGCTTTATTTTCAGGCATAGAAGCTATTGTGTAAAACCTAGTTTGCACTGAGTGTCCTGGTTTTCTGCCAGAGCTTCCAGCTGTGAAGGCTTCAGCTCTATTTTTGCCATTTCTGTTTCTGACGACAGCTTGTTAGGGGAGGAGTTTTGAATTATTTAGTTGCACCTCGTTGTCTTTTCATCCCTGAAAGCTCCACTCTTACTGTTTTGTGGAAGGAATAGTAGTCATTCACGTCTTATTGCTGTGGTCCTCGTTGTTCTCACAGAAGTTCTGAGGTCTCTGCAGTGAGCCAAATTATCTTAAGACCTTAGAAAACAAAGCAAAATGAAGGTGTATTGGACATTTTCCTCATTGCTATGACAAAATACCTAACCAATGCAACTCAAGGAAGGAAAATA